GGCAGGGTGGGTGGGGAAAGTGCAGTGTGCACCTAAGAAGGGGAAAGAAAGAGTAATTGCTGATGCTGGGTTCCAAGGAGACTGGAGACAAGGCGGAGTGGTGGCTCACGCCTGTAATCCCAACATTTTGGGAGGCCGAGGCAGGTGGATCACAAGATCAGGAGATCGAGACCATCCTGGCTAACACAGTGAAACCCCGTCTCTACTAAAAATACAAAAAATTAGCCGGGCATGCTGGCAGGCGCCTGTAGTCCCAGCTACTCGGGAGGCTGAGGCAGGAGAATGGCGTGAACCTGGGAGGGGATATTGATACTGAATAAATAAGCACATAAAGTAAATATAGTATTTTCCAACTGTGAAAAGAGCTTTGAAAGCAAAGTACTGGTAGCCGTGAGAGTACTATGCAGATGATCTGACTCAGTTTGGGGTGGGGTGGTCAGGCCAGGCTTTCTAAAAGAAGTGATATTTGAGGGATAGCTGAAGGATGAGTTGGTTAGCTGGATAGAGGAAGGTGGGTGGGAGTGGATGGAGAAGAGCTTCCAGACCCAGAGACCAGACTGTACAAAGGCAATTCAGTTGGCAGGAACACAGAGAAGTGTGGTTGAAGCCGTCAGGTCAGCCATGGTGTGGCACTTACTGGCGAGAACACGAGTGTCAGTGAAAGATTTTAAACAGGAAATGACAAAGCTCTGAGTGGGTAAGAAGCGGTCACTCCAGAGAATAGAGTTTAAAAGGATCAGTGTGGAAGCAGGGAGATTAGTTTGGAGGCAGTTGCCGTGTCCAGCCTTGGGCTGGTGTAGGGTGGCGGCAGTGAGTTTGGAGAGACGCCGTGTGTAGTGATGAGAAACATTTTCCTTAGAGCTCAAAGGAAAATGTTCAAGAAAATCTCAGCTGGTCTGAAGGTAGTGAATTATTTCAATTGATTGTTTACAATCAGTTACAGATGCAGAATGAAACCTTCTTTTTTCTTACTCTCTCGTGCCTCTCACTTACTGCTAACCTGACTAGTCTTTTAAAATTAAAAAAAAAAAAAAAAAAAAAAAAAAAAAAGGCCTGGGTGTAGGTGGCTCACACATGTATCCCTAGCCACTTTGGGAGACTGAGATGGGCAAGATCACGAGGTCAGGAAGATCAAGACTATTCCCTGCGCATAACAATGTGAAACCCCGTCTCCACCTAAAAAAAATAACAAAAAAATTAGCCCGGGTGTGGTGGCGGGTGCCTGTAATCCCAGCTACCAGGAAGCTGAGGCCAGGAAAGAATGGCGTGAACTCAAGGAGCGGAGCCTTGCAGTGAGCCAAGGATGGAGCCATTTGCCACTCCAGCCTAGGGGGGACAGAGTAAAACTCCATCCTCAAAAAAAAAAGGAAAGTCGTTTGCGGTAGCCAATGCCTGTAGTCCAGAGCCACGTTCTCCTGAGGCTAAGGAAAGACAGAATCAACTTTGAGTCAGGAAATTTGAGACCCAGCCTGGCCAAACATGGTTGAAACCTCGTCTCTACT